ACCAGTGAACTCAGCACGTCAAGGCGCGTCGAATGATATACTTTTTAGCTTGCTTAAGTGTACTTAAAGTTTTTCTTAAATTTTAAGTAAACTTAAATTAATAAATTAAGTTAAAGTTAACCAAATTGCATCATATCGCATATCATTCGATTCGGCTGATCACCAGGAACACAATGATACCATTTTTTAAGCTCTAGCGTCATTATGTGCCAAGTTATTGGCAAAAACGTCATTTGACCTCAGTTGACCTCATTTGACCTGACCCATGGATAAGTACACCAAACAAAGAAGCACCAAGTGACCTGCTGTTAAGTACTGTGGTTTCAAAGCACAAAAGTGATAGAACGAAGCGGATATCTCCAGTATTTTCCGAATTTAGTATTTTCCCATAGGCTTAACATTACGACGTAATGACCTCTAACTGACCTCAGGTCAGTGACCTCAAAAAACCCGAACTATATGTTATACAACTCGGTGAACTTAGCACATCCTGAAAGTTTGAAGGAAATCAGTGCAAAACTGTGAGCTGGACAGGTGCAAAAAGAAAATTGAAATTTAACCATGACCTTGTACCGGTTTTTCTGACCTGGTGACCTGACCCAAGGTCACCCGGACCTGAAATTTTCAGGTCATATGTAAAAAGGTTGCCCCATAGGCTGTGCCAAATTTGGCGGCGCTGCGCGCCGCCGTTTTTACGCTATCTTCGAAAAACCTTAGGGGGGGGGGTCGCATCGACCCCCCCCTGCCAGGGCGAGGGTTAACATGTTAGCCGAGGCCCTGTCATATTATCAGAGAGAATCATCGATTAAAACACACATCGATTAACACGATTAAAGCAACATCGAAACAAACAAATAAATTCATAAAATAAAGATATTTGCAGTAAAAGAGCTTAGGTGCAGATTTGGTCAAAATAGGTGCACTCGCCGGATAGCCCGTCGTGAAAACGGCTATTACATATATACCTAAACCTATGACCGAAGGTTTGTTGTCAATAGTTAAAACACTATTCTTTAGAATCGTGTTTTTCTATTGAAAACAAATCTGAGTTCCCTGACAATTTGGCAAAAGCTGCCTGAGATAAGTATAAAATCGATTGCATAACACCGCGCAATAGCGCCATTCGTATAACCATGAAACGACCAAGAGGAATAGAACGTTTATGATATACATTGCATGGCAAAGTTTGTTGACTTTGATCTTACCTACTAGGTATTTGCATAGTCCGATAGAGTTTATGCAGTTTTAGTGGAATTTAATACATTTGAAAAAAAAAAAAACAATTAAACAGCTGCCCTAGATATTTTCATAGGTATCACAGGGGAGCATGAAAATCCCAGGTGTACGAGTATAACTAGGGCCTTGCCCAGTCCCACCCTCATCCATAAACCTGTGTGCTGCTGCCCTGCTTGTCAAAGTAGGTAGAGCTATCGTTATCACTGGGACACATGACAACGACATGTACAATTATACACTATCTCGAAATCTACCACATTTTGTCATCGATGTGGTATGATAACAGAATTGTGTTGGGAAAGCCGGTGTCAGTAATTTATCAGTAATTTGCTCATGTTAGATAACTGCGTCTGCTGGGCTATTAGCTGAGTTTTAATCCTGAGGCACACGTTCTCAAAATGGTGCAAAAGATATGGACAACTAAATGCTATTGCAAAACGGCATTCTTGGTTATGCTAATGCAAATTCCGTTGTCGATGCGAGATTTGTCTGCTGCTGAATGTATGGTATAGCCGAGCGGTTAACGGTCTCGTTTTGACACTATAGGTAAGCAGCCAGGCATTACCGAAACCTACAGCGCAGACGCGTAGCTTAGCTCATAGGCGCGCGGGGGAACAGGGGGGGGGGGCACCGGGGCACTGTGCCCCCTTTTGATTTTTGCATCATAACCATTATAACCCTATGGCCCTATGGGCGTTGCATGGAAAGAAAGGGGCCAAAAGTCGGCAGTACCCCCCCCCCCCCTCCTTACGATTAGAGGTGTTCCCCCGCCACTGGCTTCGCTGCCTTAACCCGCGCCCGGCTGGGGGTCCTGGATTTCCACGCCCTGCTGGGGGGGGGGTGTTTGAACACCCCCCCCCTTCTAACTCGGCTCCTGGGCCACGTAGCGATACGCGGAAGGCGGCGTTCGAAAGAGCGTCAAAAATAATGACGAAACCACTTCGGTCAATTTTTTGGTCAGGTCAAAGGTCAGGTCACCAGAGGTCATTGAAGGCAAAATTTCGCCGATTTCCAGGTCGAATGTCGAAAATTTCCAAGAAGCCAGCGCATAACTCGGGAACCAATAGAGCTACAGCGCCGCGGAAAAGCGCATTCGATAGCCCTATTAACGCCCTTTCTGACCAATTTTCTCAGATTTGACCTAACGTCAACGGTTTTGCCTGCAGGGGGCAAAAACTGCAAAAATAGCCGATTTTTTCGGAAACAGTTTTTCTGCAATAACTTTTGACCCAAGCCATGTACGAGCTTTTTGTTACCGGCATCGTGTTCCTCTCGACAAGACGCATCGAATGAACTATAACTTGACCTTGAAAGGTCAACTTGAAAATTTGACCTCAGGTCAAGGTCATGACCTGACCGGAAAGGGTCATGTTGCATATCAGTCGATCCGTATCGTCGAGCTCAACACATCTAAGGTGTTTTCATTGCTCTAGCATGCCTCTAGCAAAAGTTATTTGCGAAAATCTGTTAGATACCATTCGTGACCTAAGATGACCTCAGGGCATAAATAGGGGTCACGGACACCATTTTCATGTTCAGTGTGTCTAAACCACTTGTAATTCAGTGTTTGGGAGTGTTTATAATGTCTTTCGTCCAAAAGAAGCGCATTTCAATTTTCTCCCATTGACTTATAATGGGGAGGTCGCAAAATTGACCTGACCTTAGGACATCGATATCAAAATTCTGAGATATACATTTTGTACATGCTATTGCTCTTAGCAATCGCTGAAAGTTTCAAAGCGATCGGTCACTCGGTGTAGCTATGACAGACATTGAAACTTTTTATGAGGTGAGACCTGGTGACCTGACCTTGAATGACCTTGGCCTGAAATTTTGACATGTGTAGAATTGATGTATGATAAGGTGTACTAAAAACGGCGGCGCTCCGCGCCGCCGTTTTTGAGATATTCGCGAAAAACCACAAGGGGGTGGGGGGTTCAAACACCCCCCCCCCCCCAGCAGGGCGCGGGTTAAACAGCGTTTCCTGAAACAAATGCATGACATTATTCGGTAGTTAAAATATTCATTTCCAACTATTGCTTCTGTAACGAAAAACATTGAACAGTACAGCGTCCATATCGGCGTTCTCAATAACCTTTCACCTATCGTTGACACATTGAATACTTACAACGACCCCACTCTCTGTTAACTTACCCTCATAGACTTGTCCGTCTACCGACCCACGGGTCATTCACCCCATCATATTTGTTTGCAAAACGCGGTCAGCCATGGCTGATCACCGCTCTCATGCAAATTAATTGTATTGTGCTGTCATTCTTTGCCATGTTGCAGCTATCAGGTTTGGGATTTTCGGCATATGGAATCGTCATCTATTCAGAAATGTTTCCTGCTTGGCACTTGTGAGTAGTGATGCTTCTTCAATGGATGCGAGCCTGGGCAGTGGGCATTGTTCTGTTGAAAGTTGGCTTTCTTTTTCGGTCTACGTCAAACGATGTACTAGACGCCATCGTCCTTTGCCATTTACTTATACCAGCCAACCCTGATTGCTACACTGTAAAAAAAAGTTCACTAATTTCCTAGTTATCCAGCCACTTTTCACTAACAAAGTGGCAGTCTACTCCCAACAAAATGGGAGTAGACTGCAAAGTCTACTGGCAATCTTTGTAGTGAAAAGAGGCCGGATAACTATGAAATTAGTAAACATTTTTTACTGTGTAGTACCTAATCCCTGATGTAATTAAGGACCTACCGACAAAAGTATCGGACAACACATTCTCTCAAAATGTTGCTTAGGCGTAGTCCATTTTCCTGAACAATCATGGTTGCCATGGCAACACGTTAGTTATGGATTTTTAGCGTTTTTTAACGTATGTTTTACCGTCCATGGCAACACCTTGTTTTATACTTCCGTCACGAATATTTGGCGTGCCAATGCCATTACGCTTTCACCTCACCATACTTTCTAACCAGTCCTTGGTTTGACCACAATCGTCATTTCCTACGAAACATGCACAAAGCAACGCACGCAACAATAGTTCTCTATTGGAGCCTCGGGGAAAGAATAGTCCTTCAAAAGCGGGGGGAAATTTTATATATGAGTTATATATGAGTAAGAGCCGAGGTGCCATTTCCCATTGCACATACATTCCCAATGCACTTACACATGGATAATACTTATGATCACAGATCATCGAATATTGTTTTGATTTTCTTATTTATGCATACCACAACATCCACACGCATCGTGGCTTTTCAGTTGAGGTGAATATGAGATCGAAACACATTACTATGGCAAGGATACGGATAGGATACGGGACATTGTGGTAGGATGGTGAAGAACTGCGAGTGCTGCTGCTGCCCAGTTGGCGCAGCGCACATCTGCAGCCTGCAGCACACATCATAGATTCGGGTCTCACTATTAAATTTACTTACGAAATTCTACGAATGAAATCTAGAAACAAAGAGTTGTACTATCAAAACGAATTCATGAGCACTAGGAAATAGACAAGAGAGAAAAACGCGAGCCTGTACAGAAGAAGACATAGAGAAAGGGAGATAACCTCTAAAAACCTATATGCGTTGTATGCTCATCCCTTACCCTCTCTCTGTTTCCTCTTTTTCATAGCTCTGCCACCAAAATAGGTCAACCACCCTTGCACAAAAAAATATGTATGTTAATGTATGTATGCATATATGTATTTATTTATCTAAACGTCAGCAAGTATCACACACCCAGCTACAAACGTAGTCATGGATTGAAACGAATCCTTGAGGGTGCTAACGATTTGTCCTTTTCGTTTCAGGTTGTTTTTCCACCACCATGGTTTTAATGATGCTTCAACTTCTCTGCCTTATAATGGCCAGCAGTGTCCCTGGTGGTGAATCGTTGAACCTCAACTTACACCGTTCGCCGCTAGGTGGGTGTATAAAACATAACCGCGAATATCGAACTTGGCTCTTTGAGTGAGCTTTTGCCATTTGTCTAAAATTGTACAATTATTTCTTTTCTGTGAACGTAAGCATTCTTGCCTAGATTAAGCTAATTAACCCGGCAGTTGCTGGGGTATTTCGCCACCCACCGTTTGCTGGGGGGGGGGGGGGCGTTAAACGCCCCCAGCCGATAACTCGAGAACCAATAGGCGCAGCGAAACGCACGAGGCGGCAAACGAAAGAACGCGACGAGACGCTTCAGATGAGTACTTTAAAGTTGAATTTTGAGGTCACAGGTCGGGTCAAGGTCAGGTCAAACACCTGAAATCGGGCTTTCAGTTGCATGGATTTCAGGACTTCGCAATGGGCGCCTCTCGTCATAAACTCTGTCAAAACAGTGCACAATCCATCATATAAGGCCTACAAGAGTGTCAGCTCCATGTAGGGGTCAATCAAGCATAGGTCAGGGTCAAGGTCAGGTCAACCGGGTAGGCACATATCACCGAAAATCAAAACTGATATTCGCAGCCTGTGACACATGTTTTATGGGTAATTTGGGGCGTAGAACACGATGGTGACATTCATTTTATCATATGTGTACGTGTTTGGCTCAAAAAGTTCAATTTAAGAAATGCATGTATCATGGTCGTGAAGTAGTCACGAGAAATTGCCAAGATTCAGTTCAAGATTTTGGAAAATGCGGAACGATAATCAATAATCGAAGATAGCCATCTGATTGTGCATGGTATTGGCAGTCTAATGGCGTTTACGGCATGTCTGTATGTCTATTCTGTGATTTTATATGATTTTTTGAACATATGCCGTTTTTGGTCGAAAACTCAGAAATCATGACGTCACTAAAACCTCGATATCTCAAAAATTTTCCGATCGATTTTTTTGAAACTTTGGCAGAATAAACTTCAATCAATTCCCTACAGGTAGCCAAAATTTGGCGCGCCTGCGGCGCGCCGTTTTTATGCTATGGCCCGGCGAAAAAAAGTGGGGGCGTTTAACGCCCCCCCCAGCAACTCGCGGGTTAATGTTGTTTGTGCCTGTCCCTCTTTTTTACTGGCTGTTGTGTCTTTTTGAAAAAAAAATGCTTTGGGTGTATTAGGTACTGAATGAATGCATTTTTATTAATCTAATTGTAAGTTGCACGAGAACTCATCCATAAATTAGTGAGAAAAAAGAGCGAAGTTTGGTTATGACTAAGACTTAAGCCTTTAGGTATCTTAAATGCAGTTTTTTAACCCGCGCCCGGCTGGGGGTCCTGGATTTCCACGCCCTGCTGGGGGGGGGGGGTGTTTGAACACCCCCCCCTTCTAACTCGGCTCCTGGGCCACGTAGCGATACGCAGAAGGCGGCGTTCGAAAGAGCGTCAAAAATAATGAGGAAATCACTTCGGTCAATTTTTTGGTCAGGTCAAAGGTCAGGTCACCAGAGGTCATTGAAGGCAAAATTTCGCCGATTTCCAGGTCGAATGTCGAAAATTTCCAAGAAGCCAACGCATAACTCGGGAACCAATAGAGCTACAGCGCCGCGGAAAAGCGCATTCGATAGCCCTATTAACGCCCTTTCTGAGTAATTCTCTCAGATTTGACCTAACGTCAACGGTTTTGCCTGCAGGGGGCAACAACTGCAAAAATAGCCGATTTTTTCGGAAACAGTTTTCCTGCAATAACTTTTGACCCAAGCCTTGTACGAGCTTACTTTTACCGGCATCGTGTTCCTCTCGTCAAGACGCATCGAATGAACTATAACTTGACCTTGAAAGGTCAACTTGAAAATTTGACCTCAGGTCAAGGTCATGAGCTGACCGGAAAGGGTCATGTTGCATATCAGTCGATCCGTATCGTCGAGCGGAACACATCTAAGGCGTTTTCATCGCTCTAGCATGCCTCTATCAAAAGTTATTTGCGAAAAACTGTTAGATACCATTCGTGACCTAAGATGACCTCAGGGCATAAACAGGGGTCACGGACACCATTTTCATGTTCAGTGTGTCTAAACCACTTGTAATTCAGTGTTTGGGAGTGTTTATAATGTCTTTCGTCCAAAACAGGCGCATTTCAATTTTCTCCCATTGACTTATAATGGGGAGGTCGCAAAATTGACCTGACCTTAGGTCATCGATATCAAAATTCTGAGATATACATTTTGTACATGCTATTGCTCTTAGCAATCGCTGAAAGTTTCAAAGCGATCGGTCACTCGGTGTAGCTATGACAGACATTGAAACTTTTTATGAGGTGAGGTCACTTCAAGTGACCTGGTGACCTGACCTTGAATGACCTTGGTCTGAAATTTTAACAACATGTGTAGAATTGATGTATGATAAGGTGTACCAAAAACGGCGGCGCTCCGCGCCGCCGTTTTTGAGATATTCGCGAAAAACCACAAGGGGGGTGTTCAAACCCCCAGCAGGGCGCGGGTTAATCACCGATGTGACATTACTATCTTTTTTCCCCCAGTGACGTCACCAATGGACAAGCCGGCTGGCCGCACGCGGAGGTCTCTGGTGCCTCGTCAGAGCCTTCCCGGAAGTGTGGGATTTGCAGTTTTCAGCGGGCGACAGTTCGACATTCTACCTTTCCAAGGTATCGTACCGCACACCAGCCAGCCGGCCAATCAGCAGTCGCGGCTCACCGGCTCGACCAATCAGCGAGGCCGTCACACTGTGTCGACCAATCAGAGCGGCCGCAAGAGGTTCGCGCCGACCAATCACGGTGCTCGACGCAGCGTGACCGGCGGAAGTGCACTCGGTCGGACGGGCATTTTTGCAGCGCTAAAGAACATCAGAAATAAATCAAGTATGTTTGGGCCTCAGCAGCAAGGTCAATGTGATGGCCTTGGTGTTCGTGACAATTCATAATTTGCACACTGTTCAGAGTTCACGGTAGGCCTATGTTTGCATATGTTTAGAGGTGATTGTGTTTAATATTTATATTGTACTGACGTATATCAACCAGAAAATGGCTTCAGGTCACACATTCCGAGATAAATATGCAAAGATGCATCTGCATATGCAGATTGGTGTATCTTACTGCATTTACATACAACACGTCTGATCATGTCCCTTACATGAATGCCTACCGATCCTAAATCACAAGTACCAGTTCGGTCTACATTATAAAAACGGTTGATAAAATATGGCACTTTCAAAAGACGTTTGTGTGTTTCATGCAATTAATACAAGCCTAATTTTAGTCACACATTTAAGGTGTATTTTTCGTTGATTTTCATCTGATGCTAACGATAGGTATTTGACCATTTCAGCTCGGCAGCATCTTCGCTCTCCTCCTAGAAGACAATTCTTCCAAAACTCCAAACTCAACTCAATAACGCGCCAAATCTTCCAAATCAAGCAGACAACGCGAGACAATTCTGTCGGAACGAAAAGCGTGCTTAGTGGATTGAGCCGCTTCCAGCAGAAACCGAGCCGCAATGTGTTTCTCAGCAGCATCACTAAAGGCAGCGGCAGCGGCGGCAGTGGTCTTCGGGGATCCACCAGAACAACGTCGGCCTCTCCCATAGGCATCGTGGTGACAAGTCACGGTAAGTAGTGTTTCCGTACTAATTTTGGTACCATCTGACTTTTTTTGAAAGAATTTATTACATTTTGTGTAGTGGTTGCTCGTAACAAAGTCCGGCTTGTCAGCTTGTGCTCAAAATTTATACGTGACGTGTATGTCGATTGTTAGGTAGCAAACCAACTGACCGCTCAGTTGCTCTGCAAACTAACTAGGTAGGCATACGAAATACCGAGTTATTTTGCAACGGAACTTGGCAGACCTGACAAGTTCCCTAAGTACGAGTATGTAAGTTCCGTACGTACCTGTATCATACCTGTATGATGCTAAATAGACGACCCAGTGTCAATAATTGAACGGTGATTCAACATATTGATCAATTAATTGTTAGTAATCGCTGGTAGAGCAAACCTTTTTGAATGTCATCAAGCTGTGGTCGGTTGGTCCCCCAGGGTGTTTTTTATGCCGAATAGGGTCATTACTTGCACCCATCAGACCCCATTGCTCCTACAATTAACCTTCACACTTGTTCAGGTGTAGGATGAATCCCTCCTTAAAAGAATGAACCATTCCGGTTTTTCATAAATTACTCCGGTAATGATAACCGTGTCTCATCACATATTTCAATGTCTCCGAGGTAATCATTTTTAGACCTCTAAACGATAATGACCTGGATATAAAATGACCTTTATCTGTGACCTCTTACTCGAGATCATGCCAAGCCAGAAGGTCAATTCGATGCATTCAAATACACTAACTCAATTGGTGTAAATAATTAATACTGAAATGATGATGGTTTGCCCAGCGACCCTCAATACTCCTGCCGAAGAGTTATGTTACCCCCAGAGAGGGCAGGCCCCAATATTTGCCGACCCCTGACCTGAGGGTTCTGGGCAAGTGGACTCTTGCATCAAAATACCTAGCTAAGTAAAATTGTTTAACTATTTTTGCAGTTAGCTGCTAGCCTGTTAGTTATTTTGCACTGCAGCTATAACGAAACGTTACAAGTACGTGGTTCAAGCCTGTGCAGGAAAACCACCTTTTGTATAATAATGTATATCAACAAAATAATTGTTAAAATGTGTTTTAATCTACGTCACCAGCTCAAGCTACACTTCCTCCAAAGTCCAAGACGTTTGGAAAATCGCAATAGAAATTGATGTGTGCTGCGACTGAGACCGCAGGCCTGTGCTGGGTCTCGTTTCAGCCGACTGCCAAACGCGGTACCAAATTTGGGCGCCATCGGTCTCGCCCTTCTAAGTCGAAGGTGCGCCAGGCCGCCGTGGCACATGTTTCTTCTACGTCGAAGGCACTCGGGATTTGATAAAATAATTGAATAATATTTCATTTTTCTTTTACAGAACAAACGGTCTTGTAGTTTCGATGTAAAACGATTTTTCCCATTCGATCTGTCTTTCTAATAAAAAATTGTCACCAAAAAAGCATCACTCGACGATAACATATATTTAAATAATGTTTAAACAAACCCCTCACCCGGGGAATACGGCAGGGGTCGTATCAACGCCCAGACGCCCCCGCCTATACATGCCCGGGGAACCCCCAGCTGACCTTTGTGGTTGTCCTTTAACCATCCCTCGTGTGGTGTAGTATAGCTAGCTTGGAGTGCAATCGGTCATCTATGGAAATGTAGAAAACGGGGCCTGCAGTGCAGACAAGTGCAGGAACACCCCGACTGTGACACATGTCATGGAAATATTTTACTTTGATTTTCAATGTGACACGTCGCATGCTGGTCATTCAGATACATAACTGACTGATACAAGGCCGAGCGACTGCACGGCAGATCGACAGTCCCGGCCATCAATGCCGGAACACCCGACTACTCCGAAAGGAAGCCTGTCAAAGAGTTGTTTTGCTTAAATAAATCAATAGGAATTGAAAATGTTATCATTCGAAGGAGCGCAGAGCTTCGCTTTTCTAGCTACTGTAACCATGTGATCGACATTGGAATCATCGATCAATTATCGCCACTAGATCGTCTATTTCGCATATCTAATTCCCTCGCGAAGTACGCGAAACTAGGTAGTTTGCATCCTTCAAGTAGTATGTATACAATAAATGAACGGCCAGCTAGTTTGCAGTGTAACTAGTTAGTTTGGAAACTACATGGCTGGTCAGGATAAAATAATTGAGCGCCTAGCTAGTTTGCAGCGCACTTAGTTTGCAAACTATCTGGCCGGTCAGGTAAGCTGCAGTGTAAACAAGGTACATTTCAAATTTCCGGATTCCGCATGTTGTTTGTAAACGCGCTTATCATTGCGCATTTCTTTCCGCCAAAAGAGCAATGCTCCTTCTTTGCTGAGCGTTATTTGTAGTAACAAAACATGCCCCAGCTTGTGTCACATGTGACACGACCTTCGCGATTTTCACATTCCAATGCATCTCTAAATCACGTGACTCTACCGTCTCTTGCGACGTTATGGGACATTTTATCATGTGTCTTTCTTCTTTTTTTTGCAGGTTTGCAGGCGCATTCTCCTCCTAACGCCCAAAATATGGAGACTTTTCTGATCCAGAGAAAACACGGCCCCGGCCACTATGTGGACGGAACTGCTGGAACTGGAACGCTGCTCTCCAGTAAGTGGGGAATACTGGGGAAAACTTGGGGAATGCTGGTGAATGATTAACACCGAGGTGCTGCTGTCCAGTAAGTGGGACTAACACCGGAACGCTAGTGTCTAGTGAGTGGGAATATTGGGGGAAAAAATGGGCAACAGTGCGAATCGTGAGACATGCTGGAGAATGTTGGAAATTGGCTGGAGCCGGAACGCTGCTGCTGTTATGGCGTCCTCGTCACCCATGTCAGTGTTTTGTGTCTGACCTTCTGACGTATCTGATCTTCTAACCACGTCTTTCACCGAGTTAGAGTCCTGCATCTGACTGCCTCTAACCGCGTCTTCCGCGTTCCGTATACCGCATCTGACCTTCTAACCCCCCTCTCTGCCCCCATGTCGTCACGGTCAGTATGACCCGATGCCGTATCTAACCCCCATGAGACGGGTTAGATACGGTATCTAACCCCTCTCCCCAGGTCAGTGTCCTGTATCTGACCCCACCCCACCCCCTCCATCTGCCCCAGGTCAGTGCCTAGTATCTAACCCCTCTCTCCCCAGGTCAGTATCCTGTATCTGACCTCCTCCTCTCCCCAGGTCAGTATCCTGTATCTGACCCCCCTCCCCAGGTCAGTGTCCTGTATCTGACCCCTCCCCCTCTCTGCCCCCAGGTCGTCGCGGTCAGTGCCCGGTGGTGGACCAGTCGCGGTGTCCCCCTCTGCCCAGCGGGCCCCTTCCCCCGTCCTGCAGTAACGACTACCAGTGTCGAGAGCCCACCACAAAGTGCTGCTACGACCCCTGTCTCACAGTCAGCAAGTGCGTTCGGCCCGTTGGAATATAAACGATTATCACCCTTATTGAAAAACGTGATAAAATGTCGAAAAACGGAAGCAGAAATGATTATACCGCGATCTGTCGCGTTGAGCTGGCCTTTACCATGAGAACTGATAGCATTTGTATATTTTAGACGGAGACTATATCTTGTGTGCATTAGGACGATAGGTTATCTACTGAAGCATGTCAGCAATGTCAAATAATAGGTACTACGGTTTGGAAATATGTTCGACGCTTTCATAATCTTGGCTTCTTCAAGACAATATGGAACCGAAACTGAAGTATCGTGACATCTTGTAACCACTTTATTTGCCGCATAAATAAACAACAGTGGCTTGTATGTGTCAGTGTTTATTTGAGTACATGAACTCGAAATGAAATGACGCCACAATCTTTATCATTATTCAATCCTTATGTGCCTTAACCCGCGCCCCACTGGGGGGGGGGGGCTATTTGTAGCCCCCCTCCCGTTTTTCTGCAATAACTTCCAAACCACTTGACGTATCGACGCCAAACTTTCAGTACCTTCGGCTGCATCAATTTGACACCTTTTGTTAAAATTTTAACTTCGTAACTACCATAGATCGGCCGGAAATGACGTCAGAGTGACGTCATGTTCGGCCGATTTCGACGCAAAACATTGAACCACGGCAATCGCTCCCAAGAGCTCAGTTTTTAAGCTAGATCCAATTTCTTTGCATGAGAGGACTCAGAATAGACTGCGCTATCAAACTGCCATCTCGGATTTTCGAAATTTTGAAAATTTGGAAAATTTAATATAATAAAATAAAAAAATTATATTTTTACATTTTTTTTCAAAAAGTTTTGATTTTTCGAAAAAAAAAACCGGAATATATGTGATAGAACGCATTATTATGACTAACTCTAGCAAGTTTTAGCTAAATATCTTCAAAAATGGCCAAGTTTTACGCATTATTGCAAAAAATTCACAATTATTAATTTTTCAAATCAATATTTCAGCACGAATTTGACATCGTACGCCAATATAAATAGCACCATCGTGTTCCTGAGCTCACACTGCATCCAATAGACACCTTTTTTGTTGAAAAATTTTAACTTCAAAATTTGACCTTTTTTGACCTGAAAGTGACCTGACCTAAGCTAAATTCGACTCAAAATGACCTCGAATGACACAGACGACATCACATTCGAAATTTCTGGCCTAAATGGACCATAAAACATATGTCACGTGACCGACGCATGATATAATATTTTCGTGACCTGTGATGACCTGACCTTGACCTGAAAATCAAAGTACAAGTTTGGTATCCTCGGGGTATCTAGAGCATCTGTTCACGAGTGTGTGATCCAAAAATGAGCCTGATCTGACTTGTAAGACGGCGGCCAGAGCCCAAAACGTGAACAAGCAAAATTCTAATAATTTTTACTTTGACCTGACCTGTGACGTCATCGGTGACCTCGAGGTCAATGAAATTAGGTTTTGCGCGACAGTTTTCCGGGGCTATCAGACGCCGTTTGAATTTTGACGATCGGCCCTGTAGTTTCGGAGTTAGGAGGGGGGGGCTATGAATAGCCCCCCCCCAGTAGGGCGTGTTATACGCAAACCCCAGTGGGGCGCGGGTTAAATGCTTTAGGTTTATTATGTTTTTTTTTTCGCTGCATCAGCCAGCTTTTTTAAACGAAGACTTCGTAGAATCAGGTCTTGGGACCGCTTGCAACCTGAATCAAAGCGCACATTTGATATGGAAGAAAAGTAAACTATTTTCGTTCGAACAAAAGCTTAGAGCTGGAATTGGGACTATAGTTCGTTTTTTTTTCAAAAGGACGCTGGCTCAAAGTTCAATATCGAAGCTCTCACGTGAGTTTTGGCAGCTTCAGTGTCTGGCCAAGAATTTCTTACCGAAAAAAATAATCGATTTCAAATTGTGCACGGTAAGTAGCTGGAAATTATTTCTTAAAAATGAACATACTATATGACGTCACTGGTGGCAGCAGGCACCCAAATGTCCGTGCAATGGGACAAGTGTCAACGAATTTGGGTGAAACTTAGTTTTCACTGTTGCCGAGCTTATAATCGAGTAAGCGGTTCCGTCCATGATAGTTATACGTTACATTGCAATACATGTTCGACAGCATGACGTCACCACTGTTCTCATATCTGGCTCCAAAACGCACATATGGAAATTATCGGGAAGAAATCACATGTTAAAATTAGTCGACGTTCGATTTTCTCAAGTTCAGTTTTTGCTCGTTTTGCTCGCTAAAACACGTGCTTGTTTGAAAAACATACTTGGAGCCAGCGTCCTTTTGAAAAAAAAAACGAACTATAGTACATGTTTATTGGGTTCTCCGAGATATCGTAAAATACTTGAAGTGAATTTTGTTTTGTTTTTATATGCACATAAGTTACATTGTATGTACATCGTTAGCATGACTGTGATTTGTGTCCGTGCGACCCATTCGCGCAGTTTTCTTTTGGGGGGGGGGGGGGCCTTTCGGTCCGATTAGACCATTTCAGAGCCGGGAGGATGATAGGATAGGTATAGGGGGAGACATTGGTCTGGGCAGGCACCCTAGTAAGTCACCGGGGCTGAGCCCGTCCAGAGGACAGGCCACCCAGCCCCAAGGTAATCACTGCATCCGCCTACGGGGTGCACTCCTCGGGAGCAGCGGTGCCGCTCCAAGCGAACAGCCCGCATCAAGATAAAGTTGCCTGTCCAGCCCGGAGGGGGTTGTGGTGAGGAGGAGAAGGACTTCTGTATCCTGAGGATGGAAACACGGAACGGTGCATTCGTGCAGCACCATAACCGTTTTAAATGCACCAGGTAGGCCACCTTTCTCCAGGCTATCGGACCATTCTCTATCTTTGTATCAGGGCTATCTCCAGCCTCTGTGCCAGATCAGATCAGTCGGGGTGAGCAGTAGCACTGGCATATTGACCTCAACCCAGCAGAAACGGGTCCTTCCAACCGCCCGGGGTCAGAGGGTCACGTGACCCACTGGAAAGAAGCGAACCGGGGTCACGTGATCCACTGCAGCGAGGTGCACCGGGGTCACGTGATCCGACTGGCGTGAGGAGCACCGGGGGCACGTGATGAGTGACCCACTGCAGTGAGGCGCACTGGGGTCACGTGATCCACTGGTGTGAGGCAAACCAGGGTCACGTGACCCACTGGAGTGAGGCGCACCGGGGTGGGTGAGCCTGTGTTATACAGAAATATACGATTCCATGGAAGGGTGTGTATTGTGTATTACATCTAATATAATGGGTAAACAATTGAACTAGTCGATGGTCTGGTAGCATACCCAAAACTACTCGCCTAATGCAGGTATGATGTGGTGTTCGCAGGTTAAATGTCACGAATAAGTTTATGTGACGGTTGCTGAGGCTTCTAAAGATGAGGACAGTCTGTTCCTTCAGGATTCGAGCTTATCACTATACGCATCGATTTTCGTGATTCGATATTTACCGCACGAAGACTAGCTTTAAGATTAGGTATGGGTAGGTAATGGTTTGCCCAGCAAACAAGAAGTCAAATATATGTCATAGCGAAAATATAGTATATTTCCAGGCATGCGACACTGAACATGCAAATGCATTGCAAATAAAAAGCACTCAATTTTCCAGCAAAAAGAAACAACCAGAACAACACTTACATACACAAACGTAAGCACTAAGCAGCTAACACGCTAAGCGAAGTATAGCCTTGGGCCTGTTCAGTGCTCAAAACTATATCAGGTATATTCATGACACAATATTATAAATAACAGATCATGCAGATCTTACGCTAATTATGACAATATACATACTGTATGGTATATTTGTTCGCATAACAATGTGTCCAGTTGCAACACCGGCAGACAACAGTTGTTTGTTCATCTCAGAGGACATTGCAGGAAATGTTCCACCAGCACTGAATATCAAGCAAGATAAGCATATGATACAATACACACACGACTGGGGTGTGTTAATAAGAAATAAGAATGCGGGATAAAATACATTAGCTATTGAATAGTGAACTCAGAGTAATGCATAAAAATAACCTCTCGCTAATACGCACATTTGGGAATACGTCGTGTAAAACAGGTCGTATTTTACAGGTCTTTAACCCTCGCACGACCAGGCCATTTCTCATAACACGAACGACCAGGGGGGGGGGGGTTGTTACGACCCCCCCTGGCGTTTCGAAACGGAAGGTCGAAGAGCTTAGCGGAAAAAAACAACGGATTGCTCTCAACGAGATCTCGCGATTGGTGGTATATTTTTTGGTCCTAGGTCAACATTTGACCTACTTTTGACCGGTCAAAGGTCAAATTTTCGGAAAATAGACTTTTTTCAACTTTCGGCGGCGATTGCGGCAAAACGGTGGGAGATATCGACTTCAAACCTTCACTATCGTGTTCCTTGATCAATTCTCTATCGTTTGGTATGTATTTCGTTTCCCTAGCTCTAAAAATGGCGCGTTGGGAGCGCCGGAAGTCGGCAAGGTCACAGTCGGCGGCAGAAATTCGAAAAATCAAAATTTAAATTTTTGAAATCTGATTGTATTTTTGGATTTGGGAGGTCCATTTGCTCCCTATAGAAGCTAATATTGCTGCATATTCCCATTGAGGTGACAAGAATTAGCAAAATAGTGGTTCGGGCGCTTTTCAAAAATAGTACCGGACGCTGTTCCTCTTGTGACGTCATAGCTCCGTGACCTGACCTGACCCGGTCAAATTTCTTATACCATATGATAGCCAATACTTGCCCCAACATGCATGGGAAGTTTCATCACGATCCATCAACCGATGTCCGTACCACAGGCAGGAAACCTCGGGCGTTGGCACTCAGTTTGTGAAAATCCGGCCGGAGGCTGTACCTCTTATGACGTCATAACTCCGTGACCTGACATGACCCGATCATTTTTTTTCGGCAAAAGATGCGCAAAGGTTGCCCCAGAGGGTATTGAAAATTTCAGCCCGCTACGACAAGCCGTTTAGCGTGCACTTCGAAAAAACCTCAGGGGGGGGGGGGTTGATACAACCCCCCCCCCTAGGCGTTCTAGGGTTAACCCGCGCCCTGCTGGGGGGGGGGGGGGTGTTTGAACACCCCCCCCCCTTGTGGTTTTCGTACACCTTATCATACATCAATTCTACACATGTTGTGAAAATTTCAGACCAAGGTCATTCAAGGTCAGGTCACCAGGTCACTTGAAGTGACCTCACCTCATAAAAAGTTTCAATGTCTGTCATAGCTACACCGAGTGACCGATCGCTTTGAAACTTTCAGCGATTGATAAGGGTAACAGTATCTATAAAATGTTTATCTCGGAATTTTGATATCGGTGACCTAAGGTCAGGTCAATTTTGCGACCTCCCCATTATAAGTCAATGGGAGAAAATTGAAATGCGCCTCTTTTGGACGGAAGACATTATAAACACTCCCAAACACTGAATTACAAGTGTTTTAGACACACTAAACATGAAAATGGTGTCCGTGACCTTTGTTTATGCCCTGAGGTCATCTTAGGTCACGAATGGTATCTAACAGTTTTTCGCAAATAACTTTTGATAGAGGCATGCTAGAGCGATGAAAACGCCTTAGATGTGTTCAGCTCGACGATACGGATCGACTGATATGCAACATGACCCTTTCCGGTCAGGTCATGACCTTGACCTGAGGTCAAATTTTCAAGTTGACCTTTCAAGGTCAAGTTATAGTTCATTCGATGCGTCTTGACGAGAGGAACACGATGCCGGTTAAAGTAAGCTCGTACAAGGTTTGGGTCAAAAGTTATTGCAGAAAAACTGTTTTCGAAAAAATCGGCTATTTTTGCAGTTTTTGCCCCCTGCAGGCAAAACCGTTGACGTTAGGTCAAATCTGAGAGAATTACTCAGAAAGGGCGTTAATAGGGCTATCGAATGCGCTTTTCCGCCGCGCTGTAGCTCTATTGGTTCCCGAGTTATGCGTTGGCTTCTTGGAAATTTTCGATATTCGACCTGGAAATCGGCGAAATTTTGCCTTCAATGACCTCTGGTGACCTGACCTTTGACCTGACCAAAAAATTGACCGAAGTGATTTCGTCATTATTTTTTGACGCTCTTTCGAACGCCGCCTTCCGCGTATCGCTACGTGGCCCAGGAGCCGAGTTACAAGGGGGGGTTCAAACACCCCCCCCCCCCAGCAGGGCGTGGAAATCCAGGACCCCCAGCGGGGCGCGGGTTAATGTGAAACTGGATGATAAAATTGACAAAAACATGGTGACGTGTGCACATGACACTCAGAGTATGGCATGGGAACACTCAACGGCTTGGAATTTACACAATTTTGCTAAATAACTCTAATGAAAAAGCATGACAAAATGCAAAAGAAAAGTTATAGCCAAGTCAGCTACTTTAACACCCGCATCCATGCAGTCAGACCTTTTGACAAATGACGGGAGACATATATGTAGGTATACCAACTAAACATTAGGGTGACAGTTAATTTCTGATTTTTTTGAAAAAGCAAAAAGGCAGTTCATTTTATGGTTCCATATAGCATAAAAACATCACACGCAAAGTTTCATCCGGATCGGATTATATTTAACCGTGCCTCCTCGAACTTGAATGTGTACGCTTTTAGCCATTGGGCCAGCAGTGTAGACCTTTCTGGTATGTAAACCATAAGCAGTGTTTCGCAGCTATTCATAACGATGCAATCATAAAGCAAAAGACTGTGGTACACGAAAACTAGTGATGTATTGTAAAACGATTTAAAAAAAACTGAGATAAGACTCAATGCGTCTTGTGGCAGTTGGCAAACCTGGACCTCCTGAAAAAAATCTGAGCATCTGCGTCGAATGCTATCGCGCATTACTGCAGATGCCGGGTGACGGTGCCTTTGCTAGCGTTTGGAAACCTTCCACGGTGTGCCTCCACCACCTGCAGAATGTACTGTCTCTGGTCCTCATCCTTGGTGAGGGTCAAATTGTACGCTTCCATCAGAGCGACGCCACGCTCGGCGAAGTCGTTCACCACCTTGATGCCGTTGGCCTTCCCCGCTGCGGCGACATAGCGGGAGTCGTCATGCCACTCGGCAGGGTCGGGCTCGAGGAAGCCGTCGTCAATTCCAAGAGTGACGAAGAACGTCCGCGACGATGTGGTCACGAAGTCTGCGCGGGTGTTCTGCGTCAGGTCTGCGCTGAGGTCAACGACGGCCCGCTTGGTCCTCCGAGCCTTCGTTCGAGGCGAGGCCTCGTCCATGGCCCGCTTTCCATGCAGTGGTAGGCTCTCGTCAAAGAACGCCAACGGGACTAGGCTCTCACTCAGATACCACAAGTGACGTCGGGCGAAGCCGCTGAGGAGTGTCTTTGCGAGGGACTTGTCCTTGTACCAGGCCAACGTCTTCAGAAGGGAGAGGTTGTTCTTCGGGGGTTCCGTCAGAAGAGAGCGGTCGTTCTTGGTCGTTGATTCGTCAAGTTTGCCGTGTCGGTCTACATTCCCGCGTGGTACACCGCGCCGAGCCCAACATCGGCCCCTAAGAACGACCTCTCCCTTCTGAAGACGTTGGCCAGGTACGAAGACAAGTCCCTCGCCAAGACGCTCCTCAGCGGCTTCGCCCGACGTCACTTGTGGTGTCTGAGTGACGGCCTCGTCCCGTTGGCGTTCTTTGACGAGAGCCTACCACTGCATGGAAAGCGTGCCATTGTTGAGGCCCTGGCCTCGAACGAGGGCTCGTAGGACTTTTACCAAGCGGGCCGTCGTTGATCTCAGCGCAAACCTGACGCAGAAGACCCTCGCAAACTTCGTGACCACATCGTCGCGGACGTTCTTCGTCACTCTTGGAATTGACGACGGCTTCCTCGAGCCCGACCCTGCCGAGTGGCATGACGACTCCCGCTATGTCGCCGCAGCGGGGAAGGCCAACGGCATCACGGTGGTGAACGACTTCGCCGAGCGTGGCGTCGCTCTGATAGAAGCGTACGATTTGACCCTCACCAAGGATGAGGACCAGAGGCAGTACATTCTGCAGGTGGTGGAGGCACACCGTGGAAGGTTTCCAAACGCTAGCAAAGGCACAGCACAGTCACCCGGCATGTGCAGTAATGCGCGATAGCATTCGACGCAGATGCTTAGACTCGTCAGGAGGTCCAAGTTTGCCAACTGCCACAAGACGCATTGAGTCCTATCTCAGTTTTTTTTTTCTATCGTTTTACAATACATCACTAGTTTTCATGTACCACAGTCTTTTGTTTTATAATTGCATCGTTATGAGTTGCTGAGAAACTCTGCTTATGGTTTACATACCAGAAAGGTCTACACTGCTGGCCCAATGGCTAAAAGTGTAGGTACACATTCAAGTTCGAGGAGGCACGGTTAAATATAATCCGATCCGGATGAAACTTTGCATGTGATGTTTTTATGCTATATGGAACCATAAAATGAACTGCCTTTTTGCTTTTTCAGAAAATCAGAAAATAACTGTCACCCTACTAAACATTGATTAGTAAGAAATGATTGATCTGAGATCAGATCGTGTCAAAAAGGTGATATTTCTTTCTTCTTTAGTGATGTGACGAAGCTGTGGCAAAAACAAAACGATGATGCACAGTCCACCATGGAGTGGCAATGCAATACCTAGCAATACCTATTACCTACCACAGCAACAACGCGAATAATTTCTTTGCACAATGACATTCAAATAGCAATATCTTACCAAACAGATCACACAAGTCGGAACGGAAACAAATAACAAAGTAATTTAAAAATTCATACGATAACGGAAACACTTTTCTAGCACGTTCATTGAAGAAAATGTAAAAAAATAACGTCTTCCATCATTTGTAACACTCAGTACACATAATAACGGAAACATCGGTCACCTCTAACACTAGAGATTAACGACTCGATAAATGGATTTCTAACATCAGACTTATCGTGAGCGATAAATGACTTCATCGATTTATTTGTAAAACTTAACGTTTTCAACTCAAATGAGGCTTTAATATCGCGCAAGGCCTCACTTTCGAATGGCAAGAGTAACCTTACCAAATAAAACACGGAATATTTTTTGCAACAGCAATACATATTACCTCTCCTCCATAAAACAATGTCTTTCTGGCGATAGGGCGACAAGGGCCAAATTTCATCACCTTCCGACGGGCCGAACGCACTTGCTGACTGTGAGACAAGGGTCGTAGCAGCACTTAGTGGTGGGCTCGTGACACTGGTAGTCGTTGCTGCAGGACGGGGGCAGGGGCCCGCTGGGCAGAGGGGGACACCGCGACTGGTCCACCACCGGGCACTGACCAACACGACCTGGGGGCAGAGAGGGGGGGGGGGGGTCAGATATAGGATACTGACCTGGGGCAGAGAGGGGGTCAGATACAGGACACTGACCTGGGGCAGAGAGGGGGTCAGATACAGGACACTGACCTGGGGGCAGAGAGGGGGCGGTCAGATACAGGATACTGACCTGGGGCAGAGAGGGGGTCAGATACAGGACACTGACCTGGGGAGAGGGGGTCAGATACAGGACACTGACCTGGGGAGAGGGGGTCAGATACAGGAACCTGGCAGGGACGACGTGGCGGCAGAGAACAGGGAGATCAGAATGTCAGCTGCGTTATACTGAACGCGGGTGACGTCTAGTTATAGACGTAGACGTAGGCGTAGACAGTACAGACGGCTAGATGCAGGGCACCAGCCCGGTAAGAAATACGTTCAGCAGATCAGATACGTCAAGTCAGACGCAAAATACTGCCATGGGAGACGAGGACAGACGGTCAGATACGGTCAGATCCCAGGCCGTGCTGACCTGGGAGAGAGCGGGGTTAGAAGGCCAGACACTAGTGATGTCAGTTACGGAAAATCAGAATACCGATACCAAACCAAATACCAACCAAAACCGTGGAGAAATACCGAAACCAAACCAACTTGGGAACATGAGGGAAATACCAACTTTTTACCGATTTCTTAGCCTCTTTAACATTAGTGGGGTTCATGAAACCAACAAAATACCAAACACATTACGATTGAAATACCAAATACCAAGTTGGTATCGGTTTGGTATCGGTATACCAAAAAGTCGGTATCCGATTGACATCTCTACCAGACACACATCACTAACTCGAGAAGACGGGCGAGATACAGGAAGAGGTTCTGACCTTCTGACCCTATCTGGAACACCAGACATAAAGAATAAAATGTCTAAAGGACTAACCGCGAGTCGCCTGATCAAACATAGATTGGACATCACAATACAATGTGGTATAACGACTATATGGCTGGATGATACATGTATCTAAATAATGCTATACATAAACGTCACTCACCTTGTGTAGCTAGCCACAAAATAAAAAGACTGCAAACGCATATATGTAGAAAGCGAATGAGCTCCAAGCATGGATTCGGGAAAAAATCTAACAAAGTGGTGGCAAATTTGGCCAATTATTGAAAGTATGCGACTGTTGTCGACACAATTTTAGCTACTCTATCGGAGGCCTCGTGGGTCTGGTACCAATCAGTTTGTCTGGCTTTATGCTATTTCTTTGTTTGTTCAGTTCAGTGTTGTTGTTTCTTTTTTCTCTTCTTGATATTATTCGGTTCTTTTGTGTTTTGAGTTGCTATCATTTTTTTTTTGTTCTGTACATAGATAACATGATTCATGTTATCTATGTTCTATATAATTTCGTATGGTTCTTTCATGTTATGTTTGGTTGTGTGATGTGCTTGGTTTTGTTTTGCTCCTGCATGGTCTTTATTGGTTCTGTATGGCTCTGTGTCATTTCTGCATGATAATGTTTGGTTTTTAGTTACGTATGGTTCTGTACGTTTTTTTTTTGTCCTGTTCACTGGTAACTCACTGGTGTGCAGTGTGCCGAGCCCCTTGGTGCGGTCCAAATATGGCCTTTTCTGGGTCGACTTTTTGATCAGAAACGTCGCCATTTTTCCAGCGTTCAGCGGCATATGCGGCTCCAGACCTGAAAATAAACACCTCTATCAGTATTGGTATCTGAAAACTCGTCAACTTTATTGTAATGTATTCAAAATTTGTTTTCATGGGCTGTGTTAGTTCAGGGGATCAGAAACAATTTGTGCGTAAATGCATTGATTATATTGGTACAAACAAAGCTGAGCTTTGTAAAATACTGCCAAATTGGCAAATTCAACAAGGTTATTTGGACAAGAAAAGTAGCATGTTGCCAAATAAGTAAGAAAATCACATTGTAGCAAATAAAATCTGCAGTTAGTCCGTCTCTTACCTTTTACACAATCAGTTCAGCATTTACAAATTCATTGTGATTGGAGCCATTTTGAGGTGACACTCTCAGTTTTACCAGTGTATTTCTTCTCACTCTACTCAATACACATCCCTCACTCTAGTCCTCTGGTCAATACACTCCTTCTTACCATGTTCATATTCCGATCGATGCTCGTCGGGAATGGGCGCCTCTGTTGTGAGGGCGTTCGTGACAAACGCGCCCGTGCTGCCAGTGCCCCCGGAACTGTGAGTGGCGCCACCGGAACTGTGGGGTGCGCCCCCGGAACTGTGGCTGGCGCCCCCGACGCCCCCTGAACTATGGTGGCCCTGTGAACCTGTGAAAGAAGAGAGACGTTTCTCAATTGTGACGTTGACGCGTGGATGCATCGTTCATATTCCTCTTTTCAGCAATAGGTTGGTTATTTCATTGGTAGAAAACTTAGCAACTTTTACAAGGAAAACGTTGCTTTACACTGCACACTGCTCAGCAGTGCCTTAGAAATGTAAATCAGATTTTTTTTTGAATCTGCGGTAACTTTTTGCGGGTATGCCCCTTTCAGTGACCAGCGTCCAAACTGCCTTTGTGGACTCGCTTATGCCTAACATCCATCATAATCAATTTTCCTAAGTAAAAATGGAGGCATTATTTACCTGAAGTTCCCTGATTGGTCACGACGCGCCACGGCTGCTGGCTCTGTGTCGTCTGCCGATTCACATGATTGGTCGGCGCGCTGTACCGGCCGCGCTGATTGGCCGGCGCGCTGTACCGGCGACGCTGATTGGTTGCCGCGTTGTATCGGTGATGGTGATTGGCGCGCACCTGCCAGCGGTTGTGCGGCACGACTCCCTGGTCGGGCCGAATGTCGTATCGGTTACCACGTACCGTCGCGAAACCGCGACTACCGTGTAGGGTCTGTCGAGGACCTAGAACGGAGAGCGGTGACGTCATTCAAAGGTAGTGTCGTCAATCAACGCTGGTGACGTCATTTTGTGATTTTGATCTTTCGTTGCACGCGTTATCGATAAATGTTTTGATATTGGAAAAGTGCATGCAAAATCACAGCTTATAGATTGACAATCTAATAGAAGTCAGGTGAAATTCCGACAATGTATTGATAAGTTTAGTGCAATGAGCTGATAAACAGTTGATAAAACATTTTTTAGGTAAATGTTAACGAAAGAAATAAACAACGGTTTAGGGAATGACAACAATGATTCAAGGATTTTTCCTATAGGTAACTTGCAAAGTCACTTACTTTGGACACCGGACAAATGCCTCCTGCGTAGTTTCTGAGTCTGCGTTCTAAACGATTGACTGCGTGTCGGCCTGTCACGTGACGTCACTTTTCTTCGTGACGTCACGAGTTTGTGTGACGTCACAAATGGGTTGACGATGGTGCGCTTGCCGGAGGCGCCGTTAGAGTGAAGAAAAACAGGATTGCCGTGCTCGTCAATGACAGTTGAGGCCACTAAAGAGCGTTTTGTCCGGACTTTGGCTCTTGAGAGTTGAGTGACATCTAGCGGCGACCGTTGTAAGCTGAGGTTTGCTGAGTCGCCACCAGGAACGGTGGAGAGCGCCAGGAGACTGAATAGTAGAAGTGGAGACATGACTCTAGAATGTTGCATCAGCAATCTGAAACAAATGGTGGTTTTTATATATTTTTTCAAATGGAAAAGAGGATGCAGGTATCGTCTTTAAGCGAATGATTTTACTTAAGGCAAACACTAGTCCATCTCGTGGCTTAGCAAATACAATACAATACACTAAAATACAAAAAATTCACCATCATTCGACTCGATTAGCCCTTATTGGAGCATGCCCACGGTCCGGGCTGTGTGGTAACTGTTTAGAACACCGGGCGGGCGGCCTGGGCTCCAGGTGGTGGGTTTGGGACTGGCGGTCCACTGTCGGGGCTGCCCAGAACAATTTCTCCCCCCCCCCAATTCCTATCATCCTCACGTATCTAAAAAAGGCATCGTCCGACTGAAATGGTCACCTAACAAAGCAAGTAAATTCTTTGGGCGAAAAGTGAGAGCCGTGCACATTGCATATCATTTTTTTCAAAGTCCGCGCTAAAAAGCGGTGTGTGATCGCTATTAGCTCTAAAGAATCCTCCAAACACTGCGAAATCTGTAAATTCTATGAAAAGAATTTCAAAGCACTCTCTGCAGATCACACATAAAAAACAACAATAAATCCTAAATCCATTTTTACGCATATGTATGTATGCAGCTGTATGTGTGTTTTGACACCAAAGCCTTTTATATGCTGACGGTCCCAGGAATCGTTGCACTTAGTACGATTATCAATATGCAATGATTGCAATAGCTACCAAGCTCTATGAATAGAATAGTATAGCCTAGGACTTTATCAGTTTGGATCCATGAGGCCACAGGACGAAGTACATTATCATACCCTTCCTCAGCACGAACATTGGCTGGTTCCTGCAGTTCGTTTTTGACCTCAGAAACGTTTTGCTGACATTCCCCTTCTAAATCCGTGAAATAAAAGTAAAGGCAATCACAAGTAGAGCATACAATCTACCGGTAGCTCTTGTGTGTACAGGTCTGCGTGACCAGCTTATTTTCCTCAAACTTTCCTTCCTTTCTGTTCTGGCGTTGCCCATGTGAGGAAGTGTAACAGCTGGAAGCTGTAACATTTTTTTCCGTACATCAAAAAGGACATCTCTCACACTCTATACGTAAGGACGATGGACGATCGCACTGTCTGCCGCGGCGCTGAGCCGGCGTGGGGAGGGGGTCGACCAAACGATCCCCGACTCGTCGGCCGGTCACCATTAAGCGAAGATCAAAGGCTCGCCGAAGGGTGGAGTACAAACACACCCATCCGGGCCGGCGCAGTGGCCGCCGACAAACGCAACGCAGCCGGAAACACCTGCTGCCGGTGCTGGACCAGCCTCCCGACGCCTGGCGCCACGCACATCCTGCCGACGCAGCTGACAGGAAGGTGGGAGGATGTCGTTGCGGTCAGCCGTCCGGCACAGGCAGGGACCGACATCCGGCGAAAATCGAGTGTGAAAACGTCATCCGGCAGGAGACAGCTGAGACGGATGAGCCGAGCAAGTGAGGATGACGTCACGTTCCGGCGGAATGGAGGAGGAGGGCGACGGTCTCGACTCCGGATGCGAGACGGGATGTCGCCAATTTTCTGCCCCGGTCAGCGAGGCCCGGCGACGCCCGGAACCTCCGGCCCGGAAATCACAGGAGAACAAAAACTCAATGCAGAAGGAGAAGGGGATTCAGACAGACCCGAGACGGACCACCGGAGGCCGACCACCAAAGACAGAACGCCTCGGGACTCGGCGCGGGACACCGCCCCGCCCGGCTTCGGCCGGAGCGGCCTCTCTGCTGATCGGATCATCACTGCACCGGACCTCAGCTGGAGTGGACAGCAATCATCAAACACTGTCAAGTGAGTCATCTCATCTGTCCGCCTCATCAAGACTGCCTCCCCGTCATGGAAAATTCACCTCCCATTTACCCATCGGATGTCTCTGATCTGGATTACAAATGCCACTCCCTGGGGTCTAACCTGAGCCACCATTAGAGGGTAATGGATTTAACATCGTGGGAGTGTTATTCGGCAGGGAAGGGAGGGCAGATGGTCGCTACATTCCGCTCCCGACCGAGCAGCGCGGTAGTGGTGCGTCTGTTTGTAAAGGCGGGAAGGGGCTAATGGGCCTGACTGGTCCGGCCTTGTCTATGGGATAGACAGAGGGGTTAGAGGGACAGCCGGGGCGGGTCAGTAACAGTCAGTGCGCGCTAATGGCTCATCTTACACTTGTATTGGTGCTAGCACTAGTGTCGGTCATTTGCGCCCGCGGCCCGACCGCGGTAGGGTGCGGGAGCCAATGCAGGGAGAGGGGAGGAGAAACAGGTCAGGTGGTGTCATTTTTGGGGCGCTGGTCACCACTGACGCGTCAAACTACGTCAGATGACGTCATGACAGTTCAATTGGCGATGCTTTGTAAATAATCTTTTTGCGGTTAGGGCGTTAGGATTAGATTTAAGGCTAAGTTGGCATTGGCGAGCTGACAACCGATCGTGGTACACCGGTTGAAAATGACCAGTATTGTATCGTCCGTTTGTAAATATAGCGTGAAAATTTAACAATCTGTCTGGGAAACAAGGGAGGGTTACTGCAGATATGTTGCTGATTCGGACTCACAGAGACCGCTAACGTAATTATCTTTAAGTTGTCAACGTCGACCACACGACCTCACGCCGGCCTAACACCCCAGGCTCACCGGAGTTGAATGAGATTACGCCACGGCCGTCTGATCATCAATCAACGGAAACGCAATGATCACGCCCTCACGACGCGACCACCATAAATTCGTTTTTTTTTTTAGTTGTTACAATTGGATAAGGAGAGTACAACATCGTAAACGTTAAACATTATTCTGCTCCTTCGGCAGCTCAGCGCCAGAACAAGTCTGAATTGCCTTCCGGGTTGTTATTAAGTCAGCATTGAGTCGTTTCGTGATTCGCGTTCATATAACCGATACAAATCTGAATCACCATTTCAATCGTTATAAATTTATCGCTGTTCGTAACCTGCCAATCAATCCCCCTTTCTCTCCTAGCATCATCAGTACCTAACTAATATTGATGCCAGCTCCCCCTTCGAGGTATATCAAAGATTAAAGTGGAAATGACACGGTTGTTAAATTGATGCATCATTTGAGACAATTGATCATAAACATCAAGCGAGTTAGCGTTCAATGTGATGTGACTATGTCAAAATGTCACCCTGCTTGTACCCATCTAGAGTTGGTTACGGAGGGAAGCGAGAAATTACCGCAGCTCATGTCCTTCATGTAGAATAAAGACGCACCGACGGCAGCGCCCCTAGCGCCACCTACAAGACCCAACTCTCGGTACAGCCCGACCGCCCAGAAGGCCGAAAGGAAACAGTGGCGCCACCTATGACCGAGGCACGCCAAGCTCTGCTTATTCATTCTGCCGCGAGTGGACGTTACACGACCATCTCACGCGTGGAACGTGCGTAGGAGAGAGACGGACAGACGGGGACAGGGGGAGAATGAGTAAATGAATGGGCGCGCACGGGAGTGGATGAGTGAATGGGGGCGTGAGTGAGTGAGTGGGTGAGTGAGTGAGAGAGCGAATGTGAATGATCAATAGAGAGAGAGAGCGAGAGAGAGAGAGAGAGAGGGAGAGAGAGAGAGGGAGAGAGAGAGAGAGAGAGAGAGAGAGAGGGAGAGAGAGAGAGAGAGAGAGCGAGAGAGCTGGTTTAATCTTGGTTTAACGTAGAATATTGACTAACGGGTAGACCCAAACATATGAAGGAATCAATCAAAGATAGCTTTTGATCACAGGGCACATTCTCAAAGAAATTAACATTTAGAGATCATTGCATGTAATTACGTTCAATTTGTCGAAACCCTTCAAGTCCTTTCAAATGAGGCGTGATAACTCATTTAACCAGCAGGCAAAGTGACCGTCATGTTAATTTAACCCAGATAAGGCCAACGGCAAGCACAGTTGAATCTCACGAGTACAACCCGGTCCCTCGCCGCTGGATCGGAAAGAGCGCTGGTCACCGGCCCTCAGCCGCACCGCAAACAATGCACCAATATGGACCTGCTGAGAGAAACAAATTATCTGTTAAGACAGCTGGACGAACCCCTCTTTCAACGATTGACCCACGATGACCTCAGTAGGAAAGACGGACAAATTTGCGGGTGGTCAAAAAGGGGAGAAATAGACAGCAGTCACATATGATCAAGATTTAGTAAATCTTGGTGAACAACTCTACGGTCTAATTCTGGGAGAAACTGGTTACCTTTGTCAGTCGAAACCAAACTGTACATCGCGAGGCATGCTACCAACTCAGATTAGCAGACAATTATAGGCTAACGACAGGAATGGAGAATTAACTGTGTTATGATTGAGCGCGCATCACTAAAACTTAGAAATTGAAAGAAAGAAAGTGACCCCATGGCTGAGTCAGATGGTACTAGATTCAATTGAGCCGCACCAGGGACTTATGAGGAAATTGCACCAATCCCAGTCACATTTCTAGTGTCATTCCCTAACAAACATGTACAACAAAAATGGCAAAGGTCATTGCCACCCCAAGCCTAGGACATTCATCTCATGTCATGCGTGGTGTGAAAGCTACTGACAACTGTACTTACAAAGTTTTAGAGGGATACGCTGAAATTAATGAATTCAGATGATAAATCAGTAACATGCAACAATTCAAGTCATATTATTCCCAGTAACATCCGTTAGTAGATCTCTTTCTATTGACATGATCTATTGAACATGGAATTTCAACGTCAATGACCATTGACCCCTCAGGTCACAACTGATCTCATATCTGGCCTTGGATGCCAACACAACAGTTTCGGACCAGTGTGGTTTCACTTAAAAGGGATATCCTGGAATTGAAATTTATAAGGCATCAATGAACATGACAAACTTTGTCAGGTGGCGGAACAGATACAACGAAGGGCTGTCTATCGGATTGTCCTCTATCCTGGATAGCTACCTTGACTGAAATTATAATAGCAGGTTTGCCAGCAAAAGTACCCACTAGGTAAATAAATCAAATTACCATTAACACTGGAGAAATGGCAATGAGCGTACTATTGTTTACACCAGTCTTTGCCGAGCCATCAAATTAGTTTGAAATTAGCACCATTCTCCAATGGTCCATTCCCCATTAGCTTATTGTAATTTACAGTCCCCCCTTGATTTGATATAACCATTTCTCATTGCTGATGTTCCCACTCAAATAATTGGATATCACATTTGCCAAAATTTGTATACTTTCAACAACATAGCAATCGGTGAACCGAGCTTCCTTAAATTAGAACAACACAAGTCGATTGTCAATTGCAATTGAATTGCAAGTTAAATATATCATCTAGTCGAGTATGTCAATAAAACCTGCATTATAAAATTGACTCTCATAAATCGGTTCAGTAAGATAACATGAAATCACATGAGTTGGATTGTTTTTAAATTGAAATGCCAAATTGAGACTAATCCGGCGCACTACCTTAGAATTCCCTTGATGCAAATACTTACGTCCCCAGAGAAATTTGCGACAACGTGGCGACGGACGCCAGACAACAATCCACATAAAAATATTCATGATCACAAATGATTGGGCACTACTGAGAATTACTTCATTAAATCACAGGCAACACTCAGAATAGTCGAGTTGAAATTCCGATCAAAGTTAGCGTCTCCAAGGTTGAACGATGAGAGGTCAGGATGTACTAACCCGCAGGCGACAGGATCTTATGACGTCATTACCGATCAACAAGTATGAAACTGGCAATCTCCTAGAAATATGACGTCACTGAGTGAATATAGTAAGCTACGGTAGAGACGTTTCGGCTGATAGGCGTAAATATCGTGTAGATGAAAGGAGTAGTAGATGGTCTGAGTATTTGGCGGCGCAGATTTCTCTCTATCCAATGATTTTTTTTTTGTTCGGGTCGCGGGTAACAATTGATTCGTACCGCGCAGCGGTGCGCACATGGACTGAAGGGATTCTACGGGTCAGACAGGTAAGGAGATACAGAAGGAGTGACCCTGAAGTGGTCGATAGCTATTGAAACCGGAATTACAAAAGGAGGAAAGATCTAAGGATGGATGCCAGCCGAAGAGGAGGTATGTTGCAACACTTTCATGTGTTTTTGACTCTGCTGATACGTCTAAGTCTTCTAGGATTGGACTGTCTCACGTTACGGAGTAAGTAAGTAAATATGTTAGGCAGATATCAGAACAAAGAACGCCATAAGACGCCCAAGCTGAGAGGTGAGTCAGAGAGACAGGACGAGGGAGCACTCCGCCGAAGGTGAGTGACAAAATACGAAGGTGATAGATTGAGGCGAAGGGGTAATTCCGCCAGGATGAGGTGAGGTAAGTCCACCGTCGGAAAGGATCGCAGCATGTATCACTCATGACGCTAACGCGCTTGAACACACATCTGCAGGACAGGATTCCACGGCGTCGGATAAAATTGTAGGATAGATTCAGTCATGGAGTCTTCGAGTCACACCGGTCAATGATTCAAAGGCGCCACTTGCGGGTGCCATGACTGCATGAGAGTACGGAGTAGGTACCTGTCTATGAGCCCAGTGAGACTGCGGTCGCCGGGCAGCAGGATTGTGTCCACCGGTTCGTTAGGTGAAAACGCGTAAGACGGTCTCTCACAGAAGGGCTGCAAGGGTCAGTAACCAACGTCCGGCCGCGGGGTTTTAGTAGGGAAACAGAGATGTGCCGTGAGCGGCAGAGGTTAACGGACCAATCATAAGCCACTGAGGAACGCTAATAACTGACGCTACCCGCGTCGATCTTTAGACAAGTAATCGGGGTCAAATGATGTAGGTGTTCGAAGAGAGTGGGCCGGCAGAGATTGATTGAACCAATCACACCCATCGACGAACGCTAATAATGTAATCGCTACCTGCGTTGCACCTTTAGACAAGTAATCAGGGTCAAGTGATGTAGGTGTTCGAGGATATTGGGCCAGGGAGCCCAAGATGTGCTAGGAAGAGCACACACGATTCCAATGTTGGAATGGGGCGCGATAAGTCGTTGGGAGGTAAGAGTAAGCTTAAATGAAATTTACACTAATCACGGAGTCTATTGAACAAATTGCGTTTATTGTCCCTGATATGTACCGCTGGAGGGAGTTAGAACAATTGCGGGGAGGGACTGAGAGGTCGACGCGGGATCAAATTTATTGTAGTGGGATGAGAGAGGTATGGCAAAGAGAGTGAGTCTGAGGGAGATTGAGGTATGCGTCATATAGTGTAAGGACCAGCGGGAGATCTAATCTCAGCATTGAGGGCGACATTAAATGGGGATATACTCGATTATCTTTGGGATGATAGGCATTAGAAAGGGAGAGAATGGTGGGTAGCTATCAGGTATCAGATGGTGGCTTCAGGTTATGTCCTCAAGGGAGGCCTCAAAATTATATGCTTTGGGAGACATCCGTGTCCTAAATTCCTTATGAGACAGAAACCATCCTAGGCAGTGAAGACTATATGTTGACAAGCGACAAGCCAGCCTCATTATAAATATTGTTTGTGACGAGCCCCAGGCGCAAGGAACGGTGGCGGAAAGGAATCGGTCAGCTTGAAACCAACGGACCGATCAGCAATTGGAAATGGGTGCGTAAATTACGTTTGAACAAGAGAGAAATCAAACAGCAAGAAAAATCAACTCATTAACCAACCATTTGAGGATCTACCAGCCGAAAACACTCACCTGAGGTTGCTCCAGAGCACGGCACAGGTCGGCAACCATCTCGGAAAGAAAAACACCCCCGATGAAAGAAATTTTATTAAACAATAATTTTTTTTGAAAACATACTCCCCACCGCTTCCGGACCCCCTGGGGGCATCATCACATTCGTGGCGCCCAACGTGGGGCAATGGCTTTGTTGCATGCAACATGAAATCAGCAGAGTTGCACATACCCGAACCCCAAGAAAAAAATTCAAGATCGAAGACTGGATGAGCTATAGAGAAGAAACGCGTTGTATCCACTGGCTATGAAGACGGGATATAATCCAGCAGTCCTGAGGAGTTACAGTCCAGAGGAGTTGCAGTCCAGTTGCATGCAACATGCAATCAGCTGAGTTGCGCATACCAGAGCCCAAGAAGAAAATAAGATCGACGACTGGAGGAGCAGCGGAGAAGAGACACGTTGTATCCACTGGCTATGAAAACAGGATGCCATCAACAGCCCAGAGGAGTTGCAGCCCAGTTGCATGCAACATGCAATCAGCAGAGTTGCATATACCCGAACCCAAGAAAAAAAATCAAGACCGAAGACTGAACGAGCAATAGAGAAGAAACAGGTTGTACTCACTGACAGGATAGGACATCATCAAACAGTCCAGAGGAGGAAGAGGAGTTGCAGTCCAGTTGCATGCAACATGCAATCAGCAGAGTTGCGCATACCAGAGCCCAAGAAGAAAAATACGATCGACGACTGGAGGAGCTACGGAGAAGAGACACGTTGTATCCACTGGCTATGAAACAGGATGCCATCAACAGTCCAGAGGAGTTGCAGCTCAGTTGCATGCAACATACAATCAGCCGAGTTGCACATATCCGAGCCCGAGAAAAACAGGATCGAAGACTGGAGGAGCTACGGAGAAGAACCACGTATCAACTGGGGTCATGGCTATGAACACAGGATATAACCCAACAGTACAGAGAAGTTGCAATCCGGTTGCACACAACATGAAAATCAGCCATGTTGCACATACAGGGACCAAGAAGAACGAAACCAAACGCTAGAAATCAAGGAGGATACCATGCTACGTTCAAGAACACTATTCAAGGAGGTGATATTCAAGATGTCCGAAAGTACTTCAGCTGTTTCGAGGCGTTGCAAGTTCCGTTGCATGCAACACAATTTAGCAATGTGGCACATACCCGAAGCCAGAAAACAGGACCGAAGACAGAAGAAATTCAAAAAAAAATACTTCATAACATCCAAGAAGGTTGAGGTTAAGAGGACACAATTGAATCCGG